CACGCCGGAGTACTCGGGGATTTTCTCGAAGACGCGTCACCCTCTCCCCCTGATGACATCAACGATGTTCCTGGTGTTATCGTTTGCTCTCTCGTACGCTTTGTCCTGCTTAGAAACTCACACCTGGATGTCGAGTACTGGTAACCGTAGTCCGCGTGGCAACAGAGGCCCCATCTGGTACACGATATACACTCCGTTGGCGAAGGTATCTCTGGCCCAACTCCGTTCTGTCTCCACGACCTCCGCTTGGCCTTCGATGGATATTACCAGCCGTGGTCACAGCGTCGTCCCGGCACGCCTAGCCCTGTTCCGTACGACGACTCCGATATGATACGACTCCAATCCTCCCAGGGTGTTGTCTCCGTTCCGGTGCATCGAATGAGGACCTTTATCGACAGATTGATCTCTCGACTTGATGCGTGTGTCGACCTGACTGTGAAGGAGTGGACTGGGGAAGATGGAGGGTTGCTATCCCGCAAATGACGCTTTCGTGTTGGCTGAAGGTGAGGGTTACGCGAAGGCGGGCCTATCGCTTCTGTCATTGGTGCGTTCTCTCTTGTGCGGTGCTCGATCGAAGAGGCATGTAAGGTGACCTCGCTGGGAAACGACCTGTACTTGATTACGCATAGCTATTCTGGGAGCTTCCGATTGAGTGGCTCTGGCCACGTGGTATCCTTGGACACCCGCTTCGATGGTTCATGGGCTGAGTTGATGGCACACACCACACACGCCGACATCCTCACCTCCGTGCTTGAGTCCCCGGAGATCTTTAACTCCGTGTGTCGCTTCTTCCGCTCCTCTGCCGATGTGGATCTACGAGCTCGCGTCGCGTCTGCTTCCGTCCGCCCTTCGCCGCGTCCTGACTCCCGCACAGGGTTCCCGACCGTCGGAAATTCTCGTACAGGCCACTCCGTTTTGCTGGACGAGTCCTTACCCGGTGAGGCACATTGCGCCAGAGGCCATGCTCCAATACGATCCGGAAACGGAGTGTCGCTTCTACCTTGTGGGTTCGGGTACTGGGCTGTCGAAGAAGCCGAAATCATCCACCGCACTGACTCTTGCACGCCTCGTTGAGGTCACACACCCGTCGCTGGACGCGTTCATCGAGTCAGACGATCTGACTGGGGCTGTGCCAGAGTTCCTGCCCCGTATGCTCCCGAGGCGTCTCGAAGTCGTCAGGGAGGCCTTCGTCGATTCGGTTGAGATCACACTCAACACGTTTGTTGATAACTGGAATGCGGGCATGCGTCCGCTTCTCAAGAAACCGGATGTTGACCGGCCTACCGCGCGCACCGCACCTCGACAGCAGAGAACGCGCGTCAAGAATAACGTTTTTACCGGAGAACGTATCTGAGTACCGTTGGCGTAAGCCTTCTTCTCAACCGTACCTCAATCCAGAGGCTGACGAGTAATCGAAACGGTTTTCATGCAGACGTGTCTGATGATCATCCTAACGACCCTGTCCTGATGACCTTTTCGCTCGCTCATCAGCCCAATCAGCGACGACGCCGCGCGACGGTCGTCGTCGTCGTCGTCGTCTGAGAGCTCTGACGTGTTCAGAGCCTAATCGATGGTAGGCCAGAATGACGTCTTCGGGCGGCAGTTGCAGGAACTCCAGAATGAGTGTGGTCAGCGTGCAGGGTTTGTTCTGCCGGCCGTGGGGCTGGAACTGATCGGGACGGGTGGCGAGGTCGTGCATCCTTCGCCGGACTTGGGTTGCTAAATAAGTGTTTACGTTCCCGTTGAAGTAATTTCGCAAGTCCATGACTTGGTCCTCGTTCAGGAAGTATTCGCCATTGTGCCGCCTCATTTGCAGCAGCTGGAACAGGACGGCCGCCAGTTCCCGCCGCTTCACGACTTGCGGCCCCTTCACCAGCGGCGAGTGGAGGGTGTCAGTTGCGAACAAACCGCCGACCAGCTCTTGCGCGAAACTTTCTC